GTGATCCATCCCAACCAGACGTACATGGTGCCCGGACGTTCCATCTTTGACAACCTGTACCTGGTTCGGGACCTCCTGGAGCTAGCGTGCTGGGAGGGCCTTTCGCCCTCCTGTCCCTGGACCAGGAGAAGGCATTTGACAGAGTGGATCACGGGTAACTCACAGGCATGCTGCAGGCCTTTGGCTTTGGGCCCCGCTTCGTGCAGGCTCTCCGGGTGCTGTACACCTCTGCAGAATGTTTGGTCAAGCTCAACTGGACCCTGACGGAGCCCATCCCGTTCAGGAGAGGCTGTGTCAAAGCTGTCCACTATCAGGCCAGCTGTACACCTTGGCCCTGGAGCCCTTCCTCATTTGCCTGTGGAAATGGGTGGTGGGGTTGATGCTCTGGGAGCCAGCGGTGCAGCTGGTCCTGTCAGCATATGTTGACAACGTACTCCTCATGGTCCAGGACTTGGGTGACCTGGCACAGGTGGAGCCCTGCCAGGCATTGTACTCGGCAGCCTCCTCTGCCCGGGTCAACTGGGTCAAGAGTTTTGGCCTGGTGGCGGGTGATGGGTGGCAGGTGGGCTCACTCCCACCCACACTCGGTGGAATCTGCTGGAGGGTGGTCGTGCTGCTCTATTTGGGGGGTCTACCTGTCCCCCACAGACCCCTCCCCACCAGAGAACTGGCACCAGCAATGGAGAGTGTTGGCAGGTTTTGCATTTGTTGTTTAGACTGGGAGGTGGGGGTGTATTGATCAGTGAGGAGCTTGCTTGAAAGGAATGGCATCTTGAGAGAGATCTTCACATCCCATCCCCCACCCCCTCCCAACCACCTGGCTTTCAAACAACCCCAAACCTTACCTAACTCTTCATCAGAAGCAAACTCCTCTAAACTACAATTTAAGTTACTATCGATGCCTGTACATGAACTGGATGGCTGCTGGAGTATGGTAATTACATTAATAATGTAACATAAATTACATAATAATGTGACAAGATAGTATGGGATGCTGTAAGACTGAACACTGGGTGCTAAATATTATCAAGGCCATTTAGGATATTCAGTTCAAATGACTGTGAACTGTGAGAATAACTTCTGCACACCTTTCCCTCTATAGATGTGTGCGTCACATCTTGTATTATTACAGAACATAAGGGTTTCCATGCCCCTCGCTGGTAGTCTGCTAACGTTTCAGTTTTCACATGACGCTTCCTCATTTTTATTAAATAGCAAGACACCCAGTCTGGGGTGGGGCAGGTTGTTTTCACTGGAACCACAATTGCCTCATTAAAAGTATAAGTCTTGTTACTTCCCCAGCAACTATTGTCTGGGAACAATTATCTTCTACTTCCCTTTTCAGGACATTTTTATCACAGAGGAAAGGAAGAGACAATTATTCCCTAGACCATAAGACATGATGTACTAGTGCAAGGAGAATACACCCATGCATGAGCAAGCACTATGGCACCAAACTAGATGCACAGAGCAAATTCCTCACATCAGCTTTTTTAGGATTTTTTTTTCTGACCGTGACCCCGTGTTCATCCATTTGCACTGATTTTTCCATTCTGCTTACAAGGCTGCTGTGTGCATGCATGCAGAGCTCTTCCCTTCCCACTCTGAAACAAGTCTGCATTTGAAAAACAGAACCTGATTAATCACAATTCCCTTAAGCAGAAGTGAGAGAAGTGATTTTCTTTAACATGCCCCAGACCAAGTTATTCCATATTCTATTTGCATTATGATAAGGAAGAGTACAGGCTTCTTAGGCCCAATTTAAACTGTTCCCCATAATTATAAATGCCACAGCACATGATAATGCTTCTTCTTTAGCAGGGAATTTTAATTCTCACCACAGGTACTTGCAAGGTTGCATTTGGGAATATGGTGCTACGCATATTGTTGGTGGATCCTTTTTTAGATTAACATTACATCAGCTCTTTACCTGACTTCAGTCTAACACATAAAGCCATCAAAGGGACAGTGCCAGAGTGGTTGGCTTTCATCAGGGACAGGCAATTATTTTGCCTGGAGGGCTGCTTAATGAGTTTTGGTGAGCTCTTGAGGGCTGCAAAGGTGGTTCTGCTCCACACCCCACCTCCTGATGGCCATCTTGGGACTGGAAATCCCACCCTTAACCTCTGACCTTTGCCACTGGAAGTCCCTCCCCTGGAAGTACTACTTTTGGGAGGGGGTTTGCCACCCTTTAACCGGAAAAACTCCCAAATCATATACACCTGTAATAATATTTTTTTAATTTTATTTTTAAAAAAATATTTTGTCCTGATTTGTGTGCATTCATGCTGTATATATAGAAGTGATTGCATAATAGCTCAAAATGAAGTCTTACTCTTATATATTGTGGGGGCTGTGAGGG